TAACCCTAACGATACCGTAGCTCTAACTCTAATTCTAAACCTAACTCTAACCCTAGACCAAGCTCTAACACTAGATCTATCCTCAACCCTAATGCTAGCCCTAACCTGAACCCACCCTAAAGTTAACCATAACCGTAAACCTAGCCAAAAACCTAACTCAAACCATGCATCCAGACCTAAACCTAATTTTAAACCTAACCCTAACCCTAGCCTTAACCCTAAACCTAATCTTAAATCTAACCCCAATGCTAGCTTTAACCCTAAACCTAAACTAACCCTAACTGAAACCCTAGCCTTAGTCCTAACACCTTTTCTAAGCCTAATCCTAGACCAAGTAAAATCCCTATCATTAGCCCTAACCCTAACCCTGTTTCTAGCTCTAGCCCTAAAATTAACCATAGCCTTTAGCCCTAACTCTAACCCAAACTCTATTGCTAGCCCTTGCCATAGCCATACCCTATTCCTGACTCGAATCCTAATCCTACCCCTAAAGCTAATCCTGAGCTGAACCCTAACCCTAACCTTATCCTAACCCTATTCCTAGACCCAGCCCTAACCATAGCACTAAACCTAAACCTGAAACTAGCCCTAGACCTAACCTATCCCTAAATCTAAACCTAACTCTTATACTTGCCCTAGTACTAGTCCTACACCTAACCTTATACCTAAACCTAACCCTAATCATAATCATAATCATAATCATAATCCTAGCCCTAACCCCAACCCTAACTCTAACCCTGACCCTAACACTATCTCCAACCCTAGGCCTAACCTTAATCCTCGCCTTAGCTCTGGCCTCAAATCTCTCCTAACACAAAGTGATATCAGTGGCCACTAGAAGTGGTAGAGGGTGTACCGCTTTAAAATTTGTAATTAAGAAAGTAATATATTGCCGAGCAGGTTTGGCTCAGTGGATGGAGCATTCGCCTGTGGACTGAAGGGTCCCGGGTTCGATTCCGGTCAAGGGCATGTACCTTGGTTGCGGGCGCATCCCCGGTAGGGGGCGTGCAGGAGGCAGCTGTTGGATCTTTCTCATCAATGTTTCTAACTCTCTATCCCTCTCCCTTCCTCTCTGTGAAACACAAGTAAAATATATATTTTTTAAAAAGTAATACAGTTTAGCCCTGCGCTGTTTGTTTTACCCACTTTCTTAGAGACCTATATAAAAAAACTTAACCAAGACTTTGAGATATTTCCTCAAGCCTGCAGTGTATGTGATCACTGCTCATTATCCAGAGTGATTTAAAATGAGATTCAATTCCAAAACCATTTAGGAAGCTGACAATCAGAGGCTGGGGTGTCTGCCAAGTTAGATTTGTTCTTGAAAGGTTCCCCAGGCCACAGACTCGCTGTTCCCCAACTTGGGCAGAGCTGAGCCAGGACAGAGTCTTCTACCTTCTGCTTTTTGCCATCTTCGCACACACACAGGGGCTGGAGTGCATGCCCTACAACTCCAAATAATGCAACATCCCAAGTGTCGGGAGTTGTGGGGATCCTGTCTGGGTCAGCATGGAGTCCTTGGAAGACCGCGTGTGTGTGTGTGTGTGTGTGTGTGTGTGTGTGTGTGTGTGTGTACACTCATTTTTGTTCACAGGATGTGTGGGTAAGTATGTGTGTAAAAAACACGAGATGGCCCTAGCTGGTTTAGCTCAGTGAATAGAGCATTGGCCTGCAGACTGAAGAGTGAGTCCCAGGTTTGATTCCGGTCAAGGGCACATGCCTGAGTTGCGGGCTTGGTCCCCCATAATGTGTGTGTGTGTGTGTGTGTGTGTGTACACTCATTTTTGTTCACAGGATGTGTGGGTAAGTATGTGTGTAAAAAACACGAGATGGCCCTAGCTGGTTTAGCTCAGTGAATAGAGCATTGGCCTGCAGACTGAAGAGTGAGTCCCAGGTTTGATTCCGGTCAAGGGCACATGCCTGAGTTGCGGGCCTGGTCCCCCATAACCCCCGCCCCAGTAGGGGGGTGGTGCAGAAGGCAGCCAATCGATGATTCTCTCTCATCATTGATGTTTCTATCTCTCTCTCCCTCTCTCCCTTCCTCTCTGAAATCAATAAAAATACAATCCAAAAAAACAAACAAACACGAGATGGGCACTGTGTTAGGAGCTGTGTCTGGCTGTGTCTCAGGGCCACGACTCAGCGTGTGCCCCCTAAGAGTACCCACCACGTCACAAATGCCCTTTCTATAGCGTGTCCTGTTTCTGACCAGGCACTTTTTACCTTAGACTACACGGGATTGACAATTGCTAGATGCTCACCCGCTGCCTGTTACTGGGCACAGTGGAAGGCTATGTTTCCTGGCCTCCCCTGCAGTTAGGGTGTTGCCAGTGACTGGGGTTTGAAACAATGATTTCTTCTGAAAGTCATCTATACATTTCTAGGCCTGGCTGTGAGCATGTGCACTTTCCTCTTCGCTGTCCCTGCTTACCCAGGGACAGAAGAAGGCAGGAGGCCAGCAGAGGATTGGTTCTGAGCAGAACCAAGAAAACAGGCTCAGCAGGGGCCAGGAGTCCTGTGGAAGGCCTCCTGGTGAACAGCTGAACCTACCAAGGTATGAGGAAGGAGGGAGCAAACCTCAATTGGGGTAAGCAAGGTGTGGTGGTTGTCATATCAGCTAGTAAAAATTACCTCGGCAAATTCTCCATGTGGAGTTGGATTTTGAAAATATTCGTGAAGGAAATGATCATGAGGATGATGTCATGGTGACTGCTTGGATAGGCTGGTGTCAATGACAGAGCTGGCATTTTGCTTATAATGGGGTAAGGTCCACGGTTGTTTGGTGCTAGTGGTGACAGCAGAAATGGGGGAAGGGCAGTGGGGAACAGTGTCGACTCATGGGGCTAATGTCTATGGCTGTGATGGAGAGAACGGAGAGGAGGCAGATGTGATGCTGGTGTGCGGGCCGCGATGGGTACGAAGGGTGGTATTAACGCGACATCCCAAGTGTGACTCCGTACTGGGTTGGCCCGTAGGGCGGGGAGACTGTGTGAGTGGCCATGGAGAGCTGGCTCGGTGGCTGACTGTGCCCTAAAGGGGACAGCTATGGGGGGAGACATTGATGATGGGGGTGGTGGCTGTGGGGTGGGTGGTTCTGTGGTGGAAGTCTTGCTGGCCTGAAATAGAGGACGTGGGGATGATGGAAATGGTAAATACGCGCCCCCAGTGGGCGGTTTTCCCAGGGCTCTTGTGTCCATTCTCTATTCACCTGGGAAATGCCTGCTTGGCCACTGAGGTTCCCTTCACGGCTTCTACCCTCAGGGGAATCATCACCTGCATTGGTGACGCTGGGCTTGTCAGGCTCCTCACAGGTTCTCACTGGACCAAGCCGCTCAGTCAACAGGATCAAGGCCTATAATAATCATTGCACCAGACCTGTGGCTGCACACGTTGGCCCCAGGAAGGAGAAGTGGCAGAATTTATGGACATCCCATGTGGGGACTTGGATGCGGAAGAGCCTTATTTCCAGAGGGCCCAGGAAGTTTCTAAGGGAGCACTTTCAGATGTGGCAGGAGACCTGTCTGGGATCATGCTTGTGAAGTGACCGCTGGGGCCCCTGGAGCTGTGGTCTCCTCCATACATTGCAGGGAGAACAGTACCTGTCTGGGATCATTCTTGTGAAGTGACCGCTGGGGCCCCTGGAGCTGTGGTCTCCTCCATACATTGCAGGGAGAACAGTACCTTCCCCTCGGGGTGTTTACAGGGTGCATTGTAAGGGGCTTCACATACAATGTGCCCAATCAGTAGATGCCATCTTTTACCATTGTTGTCATTAGCAGCAGTGGTTCAGCCGATGCCTAATGCAGACGAATTACAGACTCTCAGCTGTGGACTCTGTCGAATTACAGACTCTCAGCTGTGGACTCTGTCGAGTTGATAATATGTGTTATATTTGCCCTATTGATAGAACAATTAAAATTTTCATTTAGTTGCCAAAAGTTGACAAATTCAGAGATTTCACATAAACATCTAGATTTCCAGTCTCTCTAGAAGAATGGAATACAGGGCACCTAGGTCCACATCTCCACACGGCAGCATTTGGCTGGACCTCTTTGGGTGGAACATGGGCTCTCTGATTTGCCACAGTGACCACAACTCCCTACTGTCCATCCCTCATCCTCAGTTTGGGGGCCTGTTTCAGCCTCACCGCTGTGGACCGGTGCCTTTCAGTGGCACACTATGCTCACTTGGCTTTCCTAGAGGCACCTTCTGAGCCATGGGACCACCCCATGGAACTCCTAGAGGGAGGGACCGTGGTGTACTTACATTTGATTTGGGTTGGCCAGTAACAGACCTAAACGTGAGCATGCACAGCGGAGAAAAGTTTGATTTCACTGCTTGGTACCAGAATTCCTCTGAGGGAGGGAAGCGTCTTGTTTGAAGAATCTGTTGAATGGGGTAGAAGTGCCACCCCAGAGTTTGCAGGTGTCTGATGTCAGCACTTGGAGGGGAGTTTTTTCCACGAGAAATGGAGTACTCTGATGTTTTGTTTCTGAAGAAGCGGGGAGAGGGGAAATAAAGGAGAGAGAAACTAGTGCGGGAGATGGGGCCAGGCGAGCCCAGCTGGCCTCAGGGCCAGAGCGCCAAGGCCATTTGGGAATGGTGAAGTGCCTTTCAGTGCATGTCTGTTGCAGAGATGACCAGGCCCCCATCAGTACTTCCTGTCTTTTCACTGCTGTGTTGTGAGATAAAGCTGTTTTTGGTTTATTTTTGGAATTTGATGTGCAATTGGCCTGGGCTGCCTAGGATGGTCCATGTGGGAAGCTGATACTACTAGAGAAGGGAGGGTGTGAGAACTGGTGTCCTGGGACCTGCAGGCATTGCGGAAAGGCTCTGGATGTCCAAATTGTGAATTGCAGGTGGCTGGTTGGAAGGAAGTGGGACAGCCCATTCTACTAGGAACTTGGGGGACAGAAAAGCACCAATTGCTATCTGGTAATAAAAAAAAAAATAAACCCAGGTTTCCAGAAGGTACTGAGAGGGAAAAATAAAATATCTGAGTTTGGACAAAATGGCTGAGCAGCCAGTTTATTTCAAGTTGCTGGTGGAACTGGCTGATCAGGGCTGGTGGAGCCTGGACAGGGGCTCAGGCCTGGCCACTTGGCCTGAAGAACGACCCTAGGAACAGGGGCTCTCTGGCAGTGCACAGTAGACCTGCCAAGAGAGCCAAGCCCATTATGACCACAACGACCAGTGCCACATCCCACCAGACCCATGGATAGCCCCAAGGTTTCTGTAGCTGCCAGCCACAGTTGCCCAGCTCATAGCCTGTGAGCTGGCCCAGTGGGTGGAGGGCGGCATAGCTGGGGCTGGCACAGCGGACGTCCAGCAGGGCCTCTGGTGTGTGGTCCTCCAGCCAGAGGTGCAGGTAGGTGAGGCTGCAGTCACAGTGCCAGGGGTTCTGTGTCACGTCGAGTGTCTGCAGCTGGACCATGTGGTCGAAGACACCGGGAGGCACAGAACGAAGGCTATTGTTGGCCAGCAGGAGGTGGCGGGTGTGGGCTGGCAGGGCAGGCATGGAGGTGAGCCCTCGACCCCTGCAGTCCACCCACAGCCCCATGGTTTCCAGGGCCTGGCAGGTGCATGATGGAGGGCAGTCCTTGGTGGCTTCTGCGGCAGCCCAGAGCAGGAACAGGGCTCCCCAGGCAGGCATTGTGCAGGCTGGCTGTGGGGAGAGCGGCTGTGAGGTGAGGGAGGGTCGGGTAGCCTGCACCCCATCCCAAGAACCAGCGGGTACCATAGGAACAATGGTATCTGACCTGTGAAATTGCAGCTGTGAAGACGAAAGGAACTGAACTGGGCCCAGCTTAGGCCTGGCTGACCCTCACTGAACACTCAGAAGGCAAGACAGTAGTGGAGGTAGCAGGGGTGGCTTCGGAAGAGGACAGGACTTCAGGAGGTGGGGGTTTACAGTCCTGGTCCTCCACCCGTAGGGCTGGGAAAGACTGTTCCCAGCCTCCCTGCCTAAGCCTGGGGTTAGGCCAAAGGTGTGGCCTTCACAGACCACACCTCATCCCACCAATTCCAAACAGCTCGCCATGATGAAGTGAACCCTTATGTGGTACACGATGTAGAAACCAGCACAAGGATACTGAGGTGGGGGCGGGAAGGGAACCCAGAAGGAGCTCCCTCTGCAAGCCCCTCAGCCAGGCTTGGGGAAACTGAGGCCCAGAGACAAGAGAGATTTGTGCAGGGTCACACAGTAGCCTGTGTGAGAAACCAGACTCAAACTCAGGTCTCATGAGCCCCAGTTTTCTGCCTGATTCACTGCCTTCCTCCCACTCTGCCCCCCCCCCCCCCCCCCCCACCCACCCCACAAACACAACCACATAATTAGATTTCATTCGAAGGCAAGCTCTTTCCAACCCCCAGGGCCTGGCACATGGCAGACTCCCAATGACTATTCGTTGAATAAACCGGTGAATCTTGACTTAGCCAAGGAGCAGGTGTCTCAGAGTGAATGCCCGCACCCAACCCCATCTTCTAGAAGGGAGAGCAAAAGTGGGCATAGAAGTAAGAATTGACAGCCCGCCTCCTCACCACCGGGGAGGAACCCCTGGTGTGGGAGGCAGTGCTGGGTAATAAGGGGGGCTTCTTACCTTCCAGGCCTGCAGTTCAGTTCCCCTTTCTGTGACCTGAACTGTCCTGGTTGAGGCTGAGGTGGCAATTCTATGTAAATAGCTGATGTGGCCACTGCTTGAGAGGGAGGAAGGAAGTGATAAAAAATAGCCTGGCTTATCCCCTGCAGGCAGCCCTGGAGGGCCTATCTCCAGAGGCAGGGGGGCCTGGGGTCCTAGTGCCCTGGGCACAGAAGCCTAGGTCAACTTGAGTGTGCAGAAGGGTCCTATAGTGCATCCCACTGAGTGCCCCAAAGAGCCTTAGTGCAGGGTCTGGGGGAGGACCAAGGAGACCCTACTTCTGGACCCAGGTGGTGAGGAGGGCTTCTAGGAGGAGGAGGCCCTGGAAATGAGTGGCTCTGTTGGTTGATCCATTAAATCTCAGTTTTCCTTATCTGGACAATGGGAGCAATAAACCTTGTCCTATTTGCCTCAGAGATGTGGTTAGGGCAGCAACCATGGGCAGGTCAAGAATTCTATTCGGGAGGATGATTTAGTTAGTTTTAATAAACTGAGTTTATTAAGCAGGCGATTTAGTTTCTATAAACAGAGCTCTCATCAGAGAGGCCCAGGAGTGGAGCCCAGAGTGGGGGCCTGCTGAGCAGAAGAAGGGGTCCTTCTGGCTATCTCCCATGGTGATGGCCAGTGTCAGCCCAAAATGCCAAACTCAAGAAGAGGGTCCTGGGCTTCCAGCCTAAAGGCACTTAGAATGGTTTAGGGCTGGAGGGGGAAACTGTGGTGCAGAGCATCCGTGCTGCCAACTGAGGCCACACGGGAGCTTGAGCAGGGCCAGATGCTACCCCACCCAGAATGGGGGAAGCCTGGAAGTTCTACAACCAATGTTTGTTTTTAAAGCAGGGAGACGACACTACAAGTTACAGGGCAAGGAAAGTCAAGGGCAAAGGGCTGTGGAGTGCTTAAACACTCCATTTACACACTAAACCCACAGGAATATTCCTTATGTTTGCAACCAAGTGTGGTTTTTTAATCTTCTTTTTTAAAAAATATATTTTATTGATTTTTTACAGAGAGGAGGGGAGAGGGATAGAGAGTTAGAAACATCGATGAGAGAGAAACATCCATCAGCTGCCTCCTGCACACTCCCCACTGGGGATGTGCCCGCAACCAAGGTACATGCCCTTGACCGGAATCGAACCTGGGACCCTTCAGTCCGCAGGCTGACGCTCTATCCACTGAGCCAAACCAGCCAGGGTGGTTTTTTTAATCTTCTAAAGCATTCTGCAACTCCTAGCCCTCTTCAGTGAATGGAGTTGATATCATTCATTTGTGTGTTTATCATATGCTTCTCTCCACCAGGATGTCTGCTCCCTGAGAGATGGAGCATTATCCTCCCTCTTTGTGGTCAAAGCCATGGTTGACTAGTCCAGCGTCTGCACATTCAGGTCCTGAATTAGTTTGTGCTGGGTGATTGCACGAGTGAATGGATGGTTTACTTATACAAGATTTGATCAGCAGGGAGGAATCCCGGTCCTTTTTGAATTCTGACCCCCTTTTTGTGCAGGTGTTCGGAGGGGAGGCCTGGCTAGCTACGCTTCTCTGGACACCTATCACCCTGGCAGCTGGCAGCAATCTTCTGCTCCAGAACACCTGGGAATTTTAAAAAATGTGTATTGAATTCTTTGGAGTGACACCCATCAATAAAACCACAGAGGTTTCACGTGCACAACTCCACAACACATCATCTGTGTGCCGCAAGTCCAATCTCCGCACGCCCACCATTTATCCCTGCCTACCTTCTTCTGTGTGCCATCCTCTCCTTTCCCTCCGTAATCACCACACAGTTGTCTGTGAGCACGTGTTTTTCTTAACCCTGTCACCTTTTTTTTTACCCAGCACCTCGAAATCCCTCCCCTCTGATAGCTGTCAGTCTATTCTCTGGTTTTTGGTTGTTGTTTGTTTGGGGGTTTTTTGGTGTTTTTTTTTTTCTGAATAAATATTTATTGAATACATGAATATATTAATGACATGTCAGAGAACAGTCAATAATACAATCTCTAACAATTAGACCTACCACTTAAAAAAAACTGGACAATTTTCTGCACATGCATAATCAAGCAAAATATATGGAATATCAGTTCTTAAAAGAAAATTTGGCCATCTTTATCATTCCTATGTGTTTGTTTCAGTTTGTGTTTACCAAAACTCATAGCTGACTTATTGAAATGTATCCCAGCTTTATTTTGTTAACATTGTGCAATACAGATGATACAAACAGGGAAGCAAATTAAACAGTTTAAAAAATATGTCTGGCCCGGGCCCGGTAGCTCAGCTGCTTAGAACGTCATCCCAATATGCCAAGGTTATGGGTTCAAGCCCCAGTCAGGGCACATACAAGAATCAACCAATGAATGCATAAACAAGTGGAACAACAATGAGATGTCTCTCTTCAAATCAATCAATAAGTTAAAAAATAATAAAAGTTAGGAATGAGTTTAACAAAATACTTTTACTCCCAATACTACAGAATACTGTTGAAAGAAATTAAATTAGCACTAACTAAACAGAAAAAAATATATAATAGGCCAAATATGTTGAAATGCTATACACAAAATCCAGTACAACTCTGTATTACTAAGCAACAACAGCTTTTTAAATGACATGTGCTTTGTTATTTCATACACTGGAACAGCTCAAAGCCAAATTCTGATATAATTTTTGCAAGATGATAGCCCGCAAACTTTCGATTTCAATAGGAATATCTTCAGTTTGCAAATGGTCATTTCTCCAGTAAGACATCATTTTGGGAATGGGGAAGCATAGTCAAATATCAAAAGCCTGGCCTATTTTCTCAGCCAAAAACTGCCAAGAACTGCCTAATATCTGAAATGGGACCCAATCAGAAGTTAATTCCCGGTGATTTTGTAAATAACAGACTATCCCTACTTATTGTTAAAGCAGTTCTCTATAAACTTACAATTCTGTACCCCAGGGTTTGAAGCCTAAACCTGGTGACAGGGTCTGTACAACTCCAACATAAGACAGGTCTCACAGAATGCGAGGGAAAAGCTCCCCAGACGTCGTGTCGCCAATCCCCCTGAGTGACGGTCTACACTTCCCCTGCCTGACACAGGGTGCTGCGCATGTACATCCTCCTCTACGTCTGACCCTGCGTCCCGTTCATCCTGCGCTGGGGTAGCGCCACCATCAACTGACCGGTCGCCGCGGTAATAATCCGGGTTCATGGCAGGCGGCCCGGCGGGAGTGTCCGCGCCCGCGCCGCCCCGTCACCT